CCCCCCGAGCCCCCGCCGACATGCGCTGAGGCTGGTGCTCCCCCGGCTCCGGCCCCCGAGCGAACTGCAGCTCGCCGGCCAGGAGCCTTGTAATAGCTCGCCCAGGAGGCGGCACCCCTCGGGCCCTTCTCTCCCCCCAACCCCTCCCTTTCACTCAACCCCCGAGAAGGGATTTCAAACGCCACCAGCTCTGGTAACTCCTCGGAGCTAAGATGTTGGACTCAGGATACCTCCCTGTTGTTCCTGTCCGTGCTGTGGGCTCTAGTTGACCTTGAGCAAGTCGCTCCATCCCTGTGTCTCACACGCCTCCATTTATGAGTGTTATTGTCATACTCTGAGCTTGGTGGTGGTGTCTGACCATCCATAGATGGAGACAACTTATTTCACAGTGAACAATGAAGCTGGGGAAAGACACAGGTAAATATCATTTCTCTCTTCTCGTTTAGGTGGGTAGAGTTTGCTTCTGCTCCTAGCTACCAAGCAGGTGAGATTACCCTTTTTTTTTTTGTTTACTGTCACACAGTCAGCACCCAATCTCCCTGAAATGCAACACTGCATTTCACAGGCAATCAAACTTCCAATCCTTTTGCCTTGGGAAACCTGTAGCTTGCTCCATCTGTATCATGCTAGGCATCTGAAAGCATGCATAAATTCCTGGCAGTCTACTTTCTCCCTCTGCAAATAGGGCTAATGGGTGATGCTGCTTCCCTCATTCTCAGGGCAAAAATCCATCTTTCCCTTGAAAGTCCTATGTCAGTGCTAAATATTATTAACTAGACTTTTATTATCATAGTATCTGATGCCTTTGCTGGCTGCAAGCCATATGCTTTGCCCACACCATCTCTTAGAGGCGCAGATCTGAAAGCAAAACATTCTCCTCTCTGCCCCTCCTCCTGATTCCTATCTAACTAAGCTGGCAATATTCGATTACTTCAGGCTTAGGACATTTTGACCAGCTGACTAGGGCTGCCTTCTTTGGCTCTGTCCTCAGGAAAGAGGTGAATATAATTCGAATGATGCTTAGTCCTTTTCTCCTTCCTCAATCATTAGCATTAAAGATAGCTGTTGTACAAGGAAATACATTTTTCAGTCATGTAAAGATGGCTCTTGCACAAGGAAGCGTATTTTTTCTTCTCTATTATACATAATTAGGGAATGGTAACCACGTGAAAAAGACTTTTTATGGACAATATACCTTTTCATTAAAAAATACATCAATATTTGTCTTTGTAATAGTAAAATGCATTTTGCCAAGACTCCTTTTTCAATTATTATGATGAATTATTCATTCACAGGATTATTTGAACCATTATTATGATTTATTCATTCACGTGGTTAACTATTGAGAAATTCTTTTAAAAACAGCTTTTGAGAGGGATAGAAAGACTCATGAGGTTTATAAGAGGATGTAGGACCTGTCTACATTGCAATCACTGCTGTGATTCAGCTCATCCTGCACTACATTTGAACTAACAAGCTTTTAGTACTGCTAACAGCATAGCAGAGGCAGCAGGGAGCTCCACAAGGGCTCGCAGGATGATTTTCTAGCCCACACAGAAGCTCCACATGACCACAGCTCTGCTGTTTACAGGACCTGAGCTGGCAGTGTTGAAGCTAGCTCAGGTGCGTCACGTGAGCTGCATCCCCATCCAGCCATGCCTGCCCACTCTGCTCAGCTGCTACCACAGGCCATCTCAGAGTAGGCACTCCAGCTGCTATGTGCTATCTGCAGTTGCTCTTGAAAGACATTAGGAAATTCCTGTATATCCCTTTGTGTATTTATGCTGCACCTCAGACTTGGTATCAGTCCCATAAGCCTTTGCAACATATAAATAAAACCTTTTTAGCGCACAGCCTGCTCCCAAACCGATCCGCACCATAGTCCTCATGCTGCCGCACCCTTCACTTCTACATTAAGAGGCTATGCCTGCTGCCACCTTTCAGCCTCCATGCTGATCTTGCTGGACCAGCCTCTCACAATGGTATGTAACTTGCAAAGCTGGAGAGGAAAGGCGAGAAGAATCCGGAGATGCCAGGGAGGGACAAGGCGTGAATAGCAAAGCAGTATTCCAGAAAGCAACACCACAGTATCACAATACTTTCTGCAGAGTGACTTGGCTGCTACATCTGAGACCAAAACCACATGACCAGTGCCAGCTAAAGGTGCTGCTAAGCTTCTCTCTGAAGTGGTGGCTTTGTTCACACCTCCAGGCTCAGGTCTGGCATGTTGCTGTGGTTCGAGAGTTAAGGATGACCATGTCCTCCCCCAGGCCATATTGGTCACTGATTCCGAGGTGCATAAAACCGCCTTCATAGATCCATGGCAAAAATTGTTGCTGGCTCTAGCACAGCAGAACACCTGATTCTGGGCTCTTATCCTGGTCCAAAAGCTGGAGGGGTATTACTCCCGGGAGCCTGGCCTTGCCAGAAACTTTCCAATTTGTGGCACAGAAGTTCAGCTTCAACAGTCCAAACAGTTCCCTGGATGTGTTGCAGACAACGGTGTCTGAGACCTTGTGCTGTCCAGTATTCTAAATATGTATGCCTTTCAGGCAACCCATCTACTCTCTGCATTCCTTTTAGATACCTTTTGCTGGGTTTGATGTGCTCAGAACTGCAGTTGCCACAAAATTATGGATATGCAGCATTTTCTCAGAAAATCCAAACCCACGGCATCTCAAAATAAGCACTCTAAAACTGAGATAACCCAAAATGGTCTCTAGATTTGTCTACCATATGCAGAACTTCTTATCCATTTCCTGATTTTCTGGATTTCCTGTTCACTCCATCTTCTCCCGAACTTTCCAGTTCTCTCCCCCATGACTCCTGTGTTGCCCTCATGTCCCCCTTCCCACCTTTCAAGAGTGATGCCTCTTCCTATATTCAAGTACTTTTTCCAGTTATGGAGCATCTCCCTCCCTCTGACCCCACTAGTTTCTTCTCTTACTTGCAGGCCAGTGGCCCTCAGTATCAAAGCCAGTGCAATTTTCATATCCCATCAGCAAAATTCCTGCTGGAACTGGACCCTGCTTAATAAAGCACTGAAGGCTGGAGCTGACTGCCTGGCTCGCTCACTAGAAGAGGCACTGAGTGGCCAGAAGAACAGCAACCTTCTTCTAGAAAGGCTGCAACAGACCTCAAGACGAGCTCTATACTAGAAAACTACATGGTGACCCATGCTGTTTAGTTTGCTCCCTGGCATGGTTTTGGCCTGGGACATCTAAAATGCTCCAGACAATGCCTGGGGGGCAGGTTGGCAATTAGCATGGGCCAGGGACCTTTCCCAGGAGGCAGTTCAAATGCACCCATGCTGTCCGGAGGTGGGAAGGTTAACAGGGGTTGGGCTGTGGACATGAACAAGGGTGAGAGAAGGAGCTCTGGCATGAAGAACACATAAAGCCCAAAAAGCCCTGCAAGAAGTATTGCTCCCAAGGCCTGTCCTGGTCAGGCGAGGACAGCTGGCAGGTTTTTATAAGTCACAAGCTAGAACTTCTTTGTTTATGTGACTTTTGTAATACTCACCCATATCAAAAGAAGGAACCGTAAGGAAAACAATCCCTCACATCTGCAATAATTTTAATACACTATGGACCTCTGAAATCATGCATCAACATCTTAACGTGCAGCCTAATAGGTACAAGGTAACCTTCCACAGGCTTGAGGCCCTAAGGTAGCATTCACCTGCCAGGAGCCAAAATATTTCACACACAAAGCAAATCCAGATAGTCTAAGAACAGCAATAGCAAGGAAAAAAAAAAAAGTACCAGTTGACAGAGCAGCCACATTTGCAATGTTCAGTCATTTACATTTATGCATATAACCAGTTACAGACACTTTTTCTCCCCACTTCCTCAGAGCCATAAATATGTACATGAAAGTGCAGAACAAGGGAGGGAAGCAAAATTAGTTTATGCCCTGAAGCTGTTAGCCATATCACTCAGAAACAAAAGTTCTCCAGTTTGTTCTCTTACCAGACTCCAGGAAAAAACCTACCTGCTTATGAACAGTCCTCCAGACATCACAGCAGCCAATTGACATGGTATCAAATATTACTGACCAAATTCTTCAGTGCTTTCAGCCTCCTTATCCTAGGCAGAGTGACTGCATAGGTCTGAAAGGCTACTCTTTCCATCTATCTGTATGCTAGATAGAAAAATGTTTTGAAACGTGAGTGCCTTTCCTGAATACGGGAAGTGAAACACTGGCTTTTGTTTCCACATTACACTGTAAGAAACAAGAAAATATCATATCAGGAATTCTCTGTCTGTGTAACTGCAGAGCTTAAAGCAGCAGGGGGCAACAGGGTCAATAGGGTTCAGGTATTTAATGATTCCCTCTTCCTGCTTCAGTCATACTGCAGTTTCCATCATTGTCACAATAGTCAGTGATAAGGTTT